TGTTGGGTGGCGGTCTGCGAGAGCGTGAAGGTGCCGCCCTGGCCTCCCGGGCCTGGGTGCCGGGGGGGGGCGCGAGTCAGCCGAGATACGGAGGGAATGAGGAAGCCAGCGCTGTTTTTCCTTCCCTCCATCGGCATCTTGCCCCCTCCCTGAAGCCTTCCCCTCCCCCTCCATCCCTTGGGTGGGAGGCCCTGCGCAGAGGGCTTGGGGCTGAGGTGCAGGGCCCGTGCGCGCTGTAGGTAGCGAGGTGCATGCAGGGAACGGGGAAGGTATGGCGGATGGATGATGGAGGTGTGGGGGAGGAGAGGCTGGAAACGCTGGAGGAGGAGTAGTCCGGTAATTGTAGGTGACATAGAAATAGGATTTGTCAAGACAGAGCATCGGAGTGTGGGTTTTGTTTTTGTTTTTTTAAGGTGTGAGGGGTTTAGTTTCTCCCTTTCGTGGCCTTGAGTTCTCTATCTGTGATGCTTCTCGTGGGATTGATGGAGGTCACATGGCCACAAAGCCAATGAGGCTCATTGTTTTTATGAACTGTGGAAGATCACACTTCGTGATTAGCAGTTTAAAAACATTCTGAAATGGGTACTATGGCATTGAATAAAAAATATAGAACTCTCAGGGAACATAGCAGAAACATGGTACTAGATTTGAATTCTAACCTTTTAAATCAGCCATAAATCAGTGCAGCCTTAGTTCACCCAGCCTGGGTCTTTGTCAAACCTAGTGACTCCAGATTCCTCCTTGTTGTCTCAAAAGCATCCTCAGATAACGAGCCAGTCACAACCTAATTCTATATTTCCAGAGTTAATAATATATTTCAAAAGAAAAGTTCAGGACATTGCCCTTGAGGACATACTGTATATTGATGAGATAGGCTACTCTTCTTGTTATCTTATCTATAGATACTTCCTTTGGACAACCAATAGGCATGGCCAAGAAAAGTGAGTGGCTAGAATTCAATTATAAAAAAGCAGTCCTGTTTCCTGATATGTTAAAATCTGTGCTGAATTTAGTCTCAGTGACTTTTATCATATGGTAACCTGGTTGATTGAATGCTTCAATATGCTCAAATTGCTGGTCAGTTTGTAATGAGCTGGTCTATATTAGTCCTCAATTTTCCCTTCTCCTGATAGCCTGGATGACCAAAATTATGATCTGAGAGCACATATAGCCACCTCAAGTAATTTAAGTTTGGGTATGGTCAGTCCCTGCATGGAAAATTATCTGAAATCCGATGTATGCTGCAATATATTTTATTATGAAGGAGTATAATGAATCTTTCAAAGCATTTAATCAGTCTTCCAGTAACAAAAGTAAGTATGGTTTATATGTGGAGTATAGAAAATAAATGGGGAGAAAATACACTCCCTCTCATAGACATGCTGGGATTATCCAAGGAAGCTGAGGGTGGATGTTTCAATCAGATTTAAAAAAAAAAAAAAGCTACCTCACACTATGCAAAGTGATGACCAGCAATTTGGATAGGTTAATTCATGGGGGGGGGGGAATTTCTGCTAGTCATGATGGCTATAAATTAAAGGATTTAAAACTGATTCCTTCTTTACCATCTACTGAGGAATATGGGAAGTGTTGCACATATTTTGCTATGAGCATCTGGCTGGCTGTTGTGGAAATGCACTTTTAAGTTGAACCATTTTTTATATACTCAGGACTGAGGAAGACCTGCTCCCTGCTAAACAGGGAAGCTCACTGGAAGACCCTGTGTTGTGTGAAAAGCAATTCTAAGCAAAGGCTTAATCCCAAACTGCTGTTCTTAAGTACCATTTCCTTATAGATTCTGCTAGAATGTCTGCTATATGCAGGAGTGGTTACTAATAAGAGATCCTTGTATCCAAAAATCCCTCTTGCTAGAGAGTTGCTGAGGAATTCCATCTACATTTCTTAGAAGAATGAGAATATACTTCGGTAATACATTACCAGTAAACTGGAAATTCTTAATTTGGACAATAGTAGCAAGATTATTTGCCAGGAGTTTTGCTGAATTGCCTTCTGGAATAGCTATAGCTGTAAAATAGCTGCAGATGTAGAAAAGATCAGACACGTAAGTGGATTGCAGCTTTCTGTTTCTGAAATACGAGTTTGCAGAGATTGAAAGAAGACCTCACTATATTCATGGATGATGGTGTCCAAGGCTGTGTGCATAATTTGTTTTATTAAGGGGCTTATTGCTTTGGATTTTGAAGGCTGCTTGTTTATCATTGAAAAGAACATATTCTATTATCAGCAGTTTCCATCACATATCTAAACACCAGCTTTTTTCTGATCAATTTTTTTAAAAGAAAATGTGCTCTTTAGTACAGTATTAAAGTAAATGATACTGAAGTATTTCTCTTATGATATAGCTTTAAAAGATTGTGGCTGTGTTCATGCCTAGTACCAAGCCTTGATTTGTTTTAACCATGCTTTATTGAATAAATTGTGTGTTGTGTGAATCAGACTAAGAGAAAAATATTTTTTCTAAATCTCTGAAGCAGTCTGGTAACACTTTTTCAGACTAACAGATTTTAATAAAAGATGCAAGCTTTTGTCAGCTTCATCAAATGCATGGAGTAGCTAACCTGATGTAGGATTTGTGGACCAAAACCAAAATGCATTGTAGTAAAGTGTGATGAAAGTCAGCATGCTGTAGTCAATAAGGTGTAGGACTGGGAGGCTCAGGTTCAAATGTCCTCAGCCATGGAAAGGCAGTGGCTGTTCTTAAGCTAATCTGTTATCCTAATATACTTCACAAGGAGGTTATGGGAAAATTGAAAGTGGGAGTGTTTTGTATGCTGGCTTAAACTCCTGAAGGAAAAGCATATTGTAAAACAAATAGTGTAAATCCGCCACTACAAAGGTTCATATCGGCACCAGTATAGAGGAAAACAGCACTATAGGTAGTCCTCACTTAGTGACTGCCTTGTTTAATGACCCTTCAAAGTTACAGTGGTGCTAAAAATAATTTAGCAATCAGTCCTCGGATTTACAACATTGACAGCGTCTCTCTGCTGTTATGTTCACTTGCTTATTTACCCCATACCAAGATGTCCTCAAAGAGAAAGAACCCCGGTTCAGCAGAAGGGAGTAAGAAGAAGCAAAGGAAAACTGAAGTAAAATTGTAAGCATGGTCGCAGTCACATGATTTTCATTTAGGTACCACTTCATTTAATGACTGAGTTGCTGGTCCCAATTGCAGTCACTAAATGAGGACTACCTGTATTTTAATCAGTTATGAAAATTATAATGTCCTTTAAAAGAATAAATTTATATAATTATCTAAAGATGTTTAAAAACATTAATAACATTGCAGTCTTGAATATGTTGGTCATACCAAACTCAATATCTGGATTCATACATCACCTTAAGGCATAGTTTGCTTAAAATTTATTTCTTGTATAAGCTACATTTGACTGAGTTCATACAGCACAAAGTCAAAAACAAGCCAAATTGTGGTTTAACCTTACCTATGAATCCAGCTTACTTTTAATAAATGTTACATTTTAAATTGCAAATTTGCTTTTCTTACAAATACATCAAAGTAACCAGCAGTTTAAAAAAGCAATAAAACCAGGAAGATGGTGAGCTGAAAAGAAGTAGCCACAAATATATTAGCTGTATAAAAGATAAAAATTCAATTAGTTTTAGAATGTTTAGGATTTCATCCTGAAATGCTCGTTTAATATGGGTGGCAGCCCCTGTGAACTTGGTAAACAAATTAGGATTACACTGACATCTTAAAGTTGAATTAGCTAGCATATATTTTTGAAAAAAATTAAACGTTATGAGAATATATGAAATGTGAATAAATTCTGACTGCAAGATATTCATAATTAGATTCTGGGGATATTAACAGCAATAATCATGGCTATCTGGTATGGATGATAAAGTATTTTATTTTTTACTTTATAATACTTAATTCCTTCAGTAGTTGCCTGCAAGAATGGCCAGAGACAGTGGTGAATGTTATCTAAGAAGAACTAAACTAAGATACTCAATTGGTTTAGTTAGGATGTCAAATAATTAACTTTAATTAAAGACTTAGGTGGCCAACAACAGATGAAAGTGAATTTTAGAAAATTGTGAGCACTTTTCTAGTCATTAAACATGGAATCATTATAGTTAAATAGCTGCCTATGAAAATCCTCATGCACATGAACAAGCTTTGTCTTTGATATTTCAGACTGCTCTGAAAAGCTTATATTGATTTCCTTATAATTTATGCTTGTTCAAAAAAATAAACAGGAATGGGGGAATTGACTTGCTTATTCTTTGATGGCTTTGTTTGGGTAGATGGTTACTGTTTCCAGGAAATGCTGCTGTTTATTTTTATAATACTTCTTGATAAAGTGTATATATATCATGACTATGTAGGCATGTAAAAATGTGCAAACAGAGTTTGATGTTTTGTCAGTGAATGAGACCAAGGAAGAAACTGATTCTCCCAAGTTACAGGTGAAGAGTATCAGTGAAAGTCATTTAAAGGATGAATAGCAAACACCAAGAACTATGAAAAGCTTATTCTTTCAGTTGTCTGGTTACAGCCATAATATGCTTTTTGTGCCTTGCAGAGAAGGGCAGTTTTTAGACTCTTTCTGGTGATACTGGATACATATTTTTACATAAGTTTAAACAGCCTCTGATTATGTAGGAAAACACAGTTCAGGTTGATGT